TCCAATTTTCCTGAACAGATCTCTGGTTTTTCCTTTTCTGTTATTTTCCTCTATTTCTTTGCATTGTTCATTTAAGAAGGCCCTCTTGTCTCTCCTTGCTATTCTTTGGAAGTCTGCATTCAATTTTCTGCAACTTTCCCTATCTCCCTTGCATTTTGTTTCCCTTATTTTCTCTGCTATTTGTAAGGCCTCGTTGGACAGCCACTTTGCTTCCTTGCATTTCCTTTTCTTTGGGATGGTTTTTGTTGCTGCCTCCTGTACAATATTACGACCCCCTATCCAAAGTTCTTCAGGCACTCTGTCCACCAAATCGAGTTCCTTAAATCTGTTCTTTACTTCCACTGTGTATTCATAAGGGATTTGCTTTAGATTATACCTTTCCTTTCACTTCCAGGCACGTCCACAGCTGAGCGTCCTTTCACCTTTGGCCCAACCACTTCATTAGCTCTGGAGCTACTTGTACTTGTCCTCCGCTCTTCCTCAGTAGCATGTTGGACGCCTTTTGACCTGAAGGGCCCATCTTCCAGCGTCATATCTTTTAGCTTTTTTTTTCTGATCATGGGGCGTTCTTGGCAAAGATACTGGAGTGGCATCGCCAGGTCCTGCTCCAGGTGGATTGCGTTTAGTCAGAACTCTCCACTATGACCTGTCCATCTTGGGTGTCCCTGCACAGCATAGCCCATAGCTTCTCTGAATTATTCAAGCCCCTTTGCCACGACAAGGCAGCAATCCATGAAGGGGATTAAAAGGTACCTCAGGTTTTAGGAATGTTTTGTGAAATGCTATGAGCACTCTAAAGAATGATAGACATGCCAGGAAGTATTATACGGACATGTGATCTACACCTTGGTGACAGTTTGGCCATCCGTGTGTTGTCTGGCATGTAAGATGCAGGACTAGAGTCTCCTAAGTCCAAATACAACTGGTTTGTGGACTAGGGCAAAGGCCAGATAGGTAGCTTTTACCTGAAAGTGGGCTTTTGCTTTGTTGTGTTTTACTCCGCAGACAGTCATGTGTCTGAAGTAAGCCTATGCAGTGTAAGAAGGTGTCATGCTCAAAATAAGATTTTTCATCTGTTTAGTTCAGTGTTCCCTGCAATAACTGCCTGCAGTTCTCCAGGATTCTAGAAAGGCGGTTTTACCAGAAGAGAAACTGAGACCTTCGGCAGGAGCTGTTGATACTCAGCAAAAGTCCCTTTCTCTGAAATCTATATATCTACCTAGCTTATATATAAGGTATGATGAAAATCCATATTAAAATGTTATTGAATTAAGCATAATTGACCATGCATATCAAACCATGATTGAATGAAAACAGCTGTAAAAGAGGGATGAATTGCCTTCCATAAAAGAGGGGGGAAATCTGAGAACAATCTGATATCTTTGTTATTATTCTACACACTTTACTGTGTAGCTGGCGGTAGTAGCTAGAAAGACCCATTCTCCAGAAGTTTCCAATGCCCTACCCCACCCCAAATTAAGCCTCATGCTTAAACATCTACTATGATTTGGAGCGTCCATCTGAAATTTTCCTTTGCTGCTAGGAAACTTTAGCAAGCTTGCAGAATATTAGCTAGTGAACAAATCCTCGCTGATGTGTTTGTTTTCAAGGGCTCGACACTGCCACATATATATGTATTTCATTGGGGTTAAAGTTATAGTGGTGCCTTATAGTAAGTACACATCCAGAATTTTGTTAACTGTAACATAAAACTATAAAAGTTTAGCTGAGCGAACTGCTTTCCTCCCACTGGCTTGCCGGTCCAATCAGAAAGCAGCCTCCCATCTCCCTCATTTCTGACAACTATTTAGCAACTGAGCTCAGCTAAAGTTTCCAAAAAAGTTAGAATAACTTCCTCTCTCCAAGACCTCAATTTTTTGCACAGCCTGGTCCTTGAAATAGGATCCCTTCAAGAGACCTAGAAAACGTTTGCTCAGCAAAACCCTTTCTATTTTTCCAAGGGCTGTGTCTCAGGAATTTAAAGCACACTTTAAAAACATACACACAGACACCCACCACTGAAGGAGGGGGGGAGCCTTCTTTTCCTTCCCTCCCCTCCTTGCGGAAAGAATGGAAGAAAGTTCCAGTTCTCCTGTTTCTCCTGTGGACAGCTTGGGGACAAGCGAAGAGGAGCTGGAGAGGCAGCCAAAGAGGTATGGGAGGAAGAGAAGATATAGCAAGAAGTCTAGTGAAGATGGGAGCCCTAACCCAGGCAAGAGGGGAAAGAAGACCAGCCCAGGTGTTCAGTCATATGAGGAACTCCAAAGCCAACGGATCCTTGCCAATGTCCGAGAAAGACAGAGGACTCAGTCCCTCAATGAAGCTTTTGCTGCCTTGAGGAAAATCATCCCAACGCTGCCTTCTGATAAGCTCAGTAAAATCCAGACTCTAAAGCTGGCTGCCAGGTATATAGACTTCCTCTATCAGGTGCTGCAGAGTGACGAGATGGACAATAAGATGACCAGCTGCAGTTATGTGGCACACGAGCGGCTCAGTTACGCATTTTCGGTGTGGAGGATGGAAGGAGCTTGGTCAATGTCTGCCTCGCACTAGCCAGCAGCATCGGGATAAAATCGACGCAAATGCCAAAGTGGTAGGTAGCTTGTTCGTATCCTTTTGGACATAGCTCAGTATGTTTGCAGCTCTGCACACTAGGCTTCACAAATGGAGGGTGAAGGGTGGTGGCTGGCAGGAGAAGGAGAGAAAGGGCCAAAGACAGGAGGCATTGAGATCGGGGAAAGATGGGATGTCAGACTCTCATCTCCGCAGCGGGCTTATCTGGTAACCTTTGCTGTTTGCTATGCCTAAGTTATCTCTCTCTATAAAATGTGGGGGAGGGGGATAGAAGATGCTGCATGGCTTAATTCATAATGAACCACTTCTCCCCTGCGATAATGCAGGTCAACTTTTTATGTTTGTAATCTTATTCTGAAGCAAGGATCAAAACAAAAATGTTGGTTATTTTCTTAGCTGTCGTTTGTGTCTAATCCAAATAGGATCACAGATCAAAGCAAAGGAAAATCTTTTCAGTCATGAATTTTTTCAGGAATGCTTCTAGGATTCAGGTCCATGCCTCATCAGAACATGCTGCATCTTTTGCGGGAGAACTGTTTTGTTTGCCTCTACAAGGTATAGAAGTCTCGGCCCAGAGAATGGCCGTGCGGCACTCATTGAAAAGATTCACCCCACAAAAGGAATGAATGGCAAACAGAACAGTCCTGATTCTGAAACTGGCACGTCTGCGTAGATTACAAAGAATTTTAAAAGGAAGATGAGATGAGAGAAGCTGTTCTGGCAACTTAGGTCTGAAATCTCTCTCCCAAGATAAAAGGGTGGTGTGCTTTTTAAGCATTTGGGAATAGATGGAGAAAGCAGGCACTCAGCGTTTTACAGTGTTGTCCTTTTGGGGCAAGTGTGAGGGGGCAGCCCTTCTTTAAACAGCTAACTCCATTCTGGCCATATTGAGACTTTGTAGGTCAAACAGATGTTCAGTATTTGTTTTGCTGGGACCATCCTCCTTCACACATTGTATATGAAAGGTAAGAGTAGACCCAGGTTTATTGTAAGTTTCTGGTTTGGTCTGTATCCTTTGATCAAAAGTTAATATAATTTTCTTGAAGATTTTCTTGAAGTTTTGAGTCTTACTCTAAATTGTTGGCTTATATTCAGACCCATGTTTTGCTTAGTTTTCTGGGTTTTGTTTTTGTGTTTTCCTTATTGGACAAGTTTTTGTTTTTATTTTTTAAACTTTCATTATTCTTTCAAATTGACATTTAAAAAGGAATTCAAGTTTTCCTGAAAACAACTGTTACCTTGTATTAATTCAGAGGGAGATCAAAACATTATAGTTCTCTGCCTCCGCCAAATACATGGCATTATATTCAAGATTTTATATGTTATGAGCACCACAGAAATACAAACACCACATAAACTGCTTATAATGGAAAAAAATAAAAGTATAAATGCACGTGTACATTTCAACTAGTGCACATTTCAAAATATGTACAATGCAGTAAATGTGAGAAGAAAGATTGTGATTGCCTACACACAAAAAAACACACAAACATCACCTTTTCTGTTTGTTTTTTAGCCTCCAACCCTAATAAAACAAGTATTCAGATCTAGATATAGTAGCTTTTTAAGATTTACAGGTAAAGACCAAGAAGGAGGTGAAGCACTCTAGCAGAAAGCATTATAATAGAGATGCACAGGATTTTGTTGTTGGGGGAGAAGTAAACAAGTAAACGACAAACCTTTCCTGAAAGGTTTGAAAGTCGTGCTTTATTTGTATCTGTGTGTTCTTCCAAAATATTTGTTAACATTTGTAAACATGTCTTGCCATTTAAAGAAACAAGTGGTTGGAAAATTAGATAAACTGAAAGAATTAATCTACTTCCAAATATACAATCATTTGTTTATTATATAGTAATAAGGGAGAAATTGTCTTTGTAATTTTTGTCTTGTTTTTTGCTTAGCTTTGCTTCAATATCAGCTACAAAGAATTTTATAAAACAATGGCTTTTCAAACAAAATCCAGTGTGTTTCTGACGTTGCGGGCTTTACTGTGGGGTGGGGGTGGGGGAGAAAATATCAACTTTGTGGGAATCCTGGGCTGTCTTTTCTGAAAACAGATGTAAAATGTCCCAGACACATACTTTGCTCAAAGTTTAGATTGTGCTTTTATTATTCCGCAAGAAAAACAATAAATGCATCATGCCTCCCATTACTGAACAATTCTTGGGCTGTAATCCACAGTGTTCTGTTCTGAGGAAGCCCCATGAACTTCAACTAGTTAAGAGCTAGAGAAACTCCTTTATAATATTATTTAAGAGTGTGCATTTTTTAAAAAAGCTAGAAACAATCAAGGGCACCATGTGCATTTTATCGTCTGAATTTTAAAAATGTTTTTAGTTCATAAAACTAGGAAGATTTTCCCATGTGTAAAGACAACCGAAGTGAATTATGAAATAGTTTGTGAATAAAATGAAAGAATGGTATGGGACTTCTTGTAAGTGTTGCATAGTGCCTAAATATAGAGCTAAGCATTATTCTTATCAGAGTGGACTTTTCACAACTCCTTTGTATATCCTGTAGCCAGTCTTCAGTCATTGAGTACCTTCTTGAATCCTAACCAATGCTGGGAGGGACTCATTGTTTTGTTTTGTTTTTCCTAAAAATCACCGTCTTTTGTTCCCTTAAATGTTGTTACCATTTAGATGTTCAATCATTTAAGGGATCCTATTGTTAGTGCACATTTTCTTCCAACTTGATAAAGCTGCAGAAAGCCTCACACAGACGAAGATTAAATTAGCAGAGATTGATAATTCTAGCATTGTGTTCCATGTAACTTTAAACAAAATCAGAGATAGCCATTCCACTAATGAAGTGGACAAAGGTAACACTTCAGATGTGGACAGACTTATATTGCATCTCTGCTTAAAGTAGGTTCCCATGAAATAAGAGAATGTGAAATCTAAAGAGATCTACTTGGGTCTTACTTTGGGCTTTTCTCTGCTGCCAGTCTTGTTTCTTAGCTACTGTCATGATCAATGGCCCATGAATTTGGTTGGGGTGTAGGTTTTCGTTGAAGCAACTGCGGAGAACTTTTTATTGTTATGTAACCCTCAAACATAATTTATGTTGTTGAGTCATAAAATGACTCAAAGGTATGAAAACAGACAGTGACAGTGTAAAGTATTATCTAATGATGCCATCTCTAAACTAGCGCATAGAAAGAGGAATCCTTTAGGTCTATACAACTACCTTCTTCCAGCAATTTTGTTGTATTTCAGAAGCAATGTAAGGATTTCCCTTTGGGTCAAGAATTTGGAAGTCTAAGAGGAGAAAGAGGACGTTGTGTTTAACAGCGAATTGTCAAACTGCTTAGAAGTTTGTAATATTTGTTAATGTTACACAGGTACACATCATCTATTCATTGAGGTTGTTTGTAGGAGTTACCTTTAAATTATATTAAGTCTTTAAATTTGCTCCACCCAAGCCTAGATTAAATAAGAAACTGGAATGCAGATTCAACAAAGAAAGAAATGAAAATGATAATTTACTTTCCAGTAGCAGAAACCACACATTCCTAGGAGTCAAACTTTAAATGCAGAATTGTTTAATAACATATAATCTCATTAAATTATATAATTATTACACTGTTCCAGTTAAGCTAATTGTTCCTCTGTTCGTTTTCATATACTAAATGCAGGACATTGATAAGTGTCTAAGGAATTTAGGAAAAGAGTGACCAGTGTAGAAACCAAACTCAGTGAGGAAAAGTTGAGGGAGCTGAGTATACTTGATCTGGAGGAGAAAGAGAGATTACCTTCATTTCAAATAGGTGAAGACGGATCTTGTTTTCTGTAGTTCCAGAGAGTATGAGCCAAAGTAATAGATTAGAAACACAAGAAAAGAGATGTTGCCTAAAACATGAGGAAGACATTATTGACACTAAGAGCTGTTCAACTGTAGAACGGACTGCCTTAGATAGAGGAGGACTGTCCTTCACTGACAGTTTTTAAACCGAGAATAGGTGGTCACTTCTCAGGGATGCTTTAGCTCAGGATTTCTTGCTTTGGCCATTGAGTCAACTCTACAATTTTATGAGCCTATGGAAGTATACATAATACTGAGACATGTGGCTGAAGTCCTCTCCATACAAGTTCCACAATGTAAAACTGATGAAATCACCAGCAAAAGCTCTTTGTTGAAAATGAAACATTTCCCCCTCCCATTCTGAGTCTCCTATGGGTTCTGAGTAATCCATTTCATGGTTAGGAACACCTGGGGGCTGAGGAAGGGTGGGGAAGAACTCACTAATTAATCCCTACAGTGGTGATTTTCAATAATTAAAGACTTCCTCCTCCCATGCCTTGAATCTCGCAAGTTCTTAACACTGACCAGGATTACTCAGTCCCTGTAAGGGCTTCATGATGTGAGAGAAAATGTTTATTTTTTTTAAAAAAAAATGTCCCTACACTCCGCAACGTCCAGAAACAGGACTTCAACCATTGTTTTACTTCCAAGTGGTTTTTACTTGGCACCATTTCCTAACAAAATAAATAAATAAATAAATATTACATCTCTAGTTTAATAGTGCTGTCAGACTCTCCATAGCTCATTCTCCTACTATGAGTTTTTTGTTCGTGTGGTGAGCCTCAGCCATACCAGTTGCATGCGGACATTGCGCATTTTGCACTCATTGTTCAAAGCTGGGCTACTGGGTCTTTGTTGCTGGCAGACATCAAGCAAGTAAAATGAGCACACCATGCAGTGTTTCAAAACTTGTTTAAAAATAATTTTTCTTTCCAGTCGGTCCCTTGGAAAAGAATGAGTTAACCAATTGATTAGCGTAGTAATGGTTTCTTTGCAAAAGAATTGTTGTTACGTTTGCTTCTCAATAGGTTTCGCCTTTTTAGCACAATGTCATAGATAAATGACAACTTTGGTTTATTTCCTTGAACTGAAGAATCAGAGGTGGTTTTAGACCAGAATTATGAGAAACGGGGGGGAAAACATTGCTGAGCTTTATAATAGCCAGTGTCTGAGTACTGCAAATGTCTTCGCTTATCAAGTATTCCCCTACAAAAT